TCTGTCCACATCCCCTCCAGCATCTGTTGTTATTAGAGTTCTTGATTGTAGCCATTCTAACTGGGGTGAGGTGGTATCTCAATATTGTTTTGATTTGCATTTCCTCTATGGCTAGGGAGGTTGAAACTTTTCTTCATGTGTCTATTGGCCATCCTTCTTTCCTCTTCAGAGAAGTTTCTCTTTAAGTCTTTATCCCACTTGTTTATAGGTGCCACCCGATTTTGAGCGCATGTATTATATTGTGCTGCAGCATTTGGTAGAGTGCATTCTTCTTCTTTACACCTCCTGGCTTCTGTCTGAATAACAATGGAATGCTGCTTTTGTGCAAAAGGAGAAGAAATCCCACAGAAGGAGGGTAGTGGTGGAGGTGGGAATGGGGAGGCATACTTTCTAGGTTAAACTACCATAGAGCACTTCATAATTTTTATCCCATGAGGTTAATGAATGGATGGATACCTCATTTATAATTCTGGTTTATAGTTTTCAGATGTTTTATTATTTAACATGTATGGTGTCTCACTACAAAATTGTGGCCGTACTACATGAAATTTGAACCTCTGAGATTTTGGCTGCAAGGAAAATGCCACCATAAATTAGCTTTTTCTTTCTTTTGCATTCCACTCACTACTTTTTAAATATCTGTACAACTTTACAGTGATAAAGCATACTATTATTATTTGCTCCTGACTACATGTTTGTCTTCTATTGTCTTATAGAATCTGTGATTAAAGCTTAGAGTCTGGGCACAGAATTTAACCCTGTTTTGGGGTAATATTTGGTAGGATATTGAAGTCAATATTTCCAAATGATCATCACCAGAAATATATGTATATGCATTACCCTTCTGATTTTTTACTTTATTGGTATTTTATTAACTTGGATTTATTTAACTACTATAATGGTAAATTTTCACACAGGAATAATTGTATACGTCATTATAATTTCCTCCAACATTTTAGAGTTTGAAGTTATTATTCTCTTTAAAAGTCTTCCAGTGCTCTTGATACACGTACAAGCTAAAAACATAACTATATTCTTTTATTGGACTTCCCTAGTTTTTTAACTATATTCTTTTATTGGACTTGCCTAGTTTTTTGTGTAAAAGGAAGTATGTCATATACTCTTCTACACTGTCCATTTCTCAGTACAGATTTTTCCATCATTGGTATATGCTTTATATTTTTAAACAGTTGTGCTTTTGCCTACTAAATGAGTATGTCATAGCTATTTAGCCAATCCCTTACTGACGAATATTCACTGTTTTTCTTTATTCCTGTTGCTTTTGGCAGATGGCTGCAAGGTTCTGAATACTTAGACTTCCACTGTGCTCAACCAGATCTTCCAGCAGATCTTTAGCATGTGATAAGGAAATCTTCACTGGACTTTGTCAGCACTGGAAACTCTTGGAGCTCAGCTTGGTGTAGGAAATGGAAGGGGAGGATTCCAATGAGGACTCTGTACTGGCTCAGATTAATTCTGTCTGGAAAAGAAAGAATAATGCCACTGTGCCCGAGAAGTTTAGAGCAACAAATCATGACATTTTTGTTTTAATTATTAAGCTTGCAAGTAACACTTGTAGCTGAGAAAACAGATCTGCATTTTTAATGATACTTTATACTTCCATCAACACATCAGTACATTTAATTATTGCAAATGATTTTTTCTGCCTGTATCATGAAATTAATTGAATCAAATTTGTGCCAGTACACCACGGTAATGTTAAAGAAGTATGTGTTAAAGCTTCTAGTTCTTTTATAGCACTATTAACTTAGTTATGTACTTTACTCTCAATTTTCATGTATTTATTATATTTTTGGATGTATGATCAATTCACCCTTGTGCTGTTTACATAAAAACGTATTTGCCTTTATATTTTTAAATTTTTGGTGCATGACAGTAAGAAGGCTTGAACTCAGGGCCTCGTACTAACACCTGGCTTTCTTGCTCATGACCGGTGCTCCACCACTTGAGCAAATGCATCCAATCTAGTATTTTGCTAGTTAATTGGAGATAGTTTCACAGACTTTTCTGCCTACTCTGGCTTTGGAATTCTGTCCTCCAGGGCTTCTAAGTAGCTAGCATTACAGTTGTGAGCCACTGGTATCTGACTTTATTTTAATGATTTTTATTAACTTTGACTTTCAGATCTCTTTATTCTTTATAAGTCAATAAAAGGCTTATTGCAACCTGTTGTGAAAGAATAGCAACTTCCTTGATATTATCTAAAATACACCAAATTCTAAACCTGTTATTATTGATAATAAAATAATTTCTTCATTATTTTGACCATTTAATTTCCCTGTCACCATTTTATGCTTTTGCTATGCTATAATAGTTTATTTTCTGGTAAACCTAGATATTATAGGAATTGCATTTTTAATCCATCAAAGTTTTACTTGATCTTTTGTGATTGACTTTAGAATTGTTCTTTAATGGTCAGCATTGCTGTGCTAAAAATTATGAACTCTTGTAGATTCAAAAAGGATTATATTGCAATAAATGTAAAATTTGGAGAACTTCCTTTATCAGATAGACAATTGAACTGTATTAGAGAATTTCTCACCCACAAAATCTGCAGTAAAGAACAGTAGATTAAAGCCACCAGGAAATCCAAGCAGGGCTACCAAAAATAAATGCCAACGGAGAAACTGAATAACTCTTCAAATAACAGATTTGAAACAGTAACAGCGATCCATCACTTACACAAAGAACTACCCATATTATACTATGTGGGATTTTACCTAGGATACCTGCTCTACCCTGAAGAAACTCCTCATTTTCTTGGACCTTCACTTTTCTTACATGGAAATAAGAAAGTATTTGTAGAGCTGAGACAAGTATATTCTAAAGCACTTGGGATAGTTCCTCAAAGTGATCACCTAATGGCAGTTGTTTCCATTTTGTTCAGTGTACATCCGTGTGAGAATATGACCTCTTTTTCCACCATAGGTTTGAAAAAGAACCATCTTTTTGTTCAGCCTGACCAAAAAAAAAAAAAACCCAAAAAACAAAAAACCATCTGGTAAGTCCTAGGAAGAACATGAAAGGATAAAAAGTAGTTAGTCATATATCCTATTAAAGATACGTGTGATTTACATTTGGTGCACATGGTAGCTTGAATGAATGTCTGACTTGGAGAAGAACTGCCTAGGCTAGTACGGAAAAGGCACATTGTATTGTTTTGCTGATTCTGAAACCTGCCACATGTTCCAATCAAAAGTTCCTTTTACTCCGGATCAGTAGTTTCCCTTCTTCCCTCATGTAGAAACTCCTGGAGTATGCTAGTTACTCATTCTCCAGTTGAAGTTTCACCTGTATGGCCCTTTCAACAGAACTGCTTTTTGTGCTGTTGATTTTCCAGGTAGACACTAATAGTACAAGTGCAGTGACACTTTCAGGTGTTCAGAAACATAGAATTTTTGGGAAAAATGTATTTGTCCGAGTGAGGAAAGTGAACTAGGCAACTCAAGGGCAGCGATGGAAGGGAGAGAATGAGAGAGAAAGAGGGGACAGCTGACACTAAGCAAAAGGAAAGAAATGTACATATCACTCAATTC